ACATGGACCTGCGCAAGCATGTGATGCACAAGAATGTGGGTATCAGTCCAGTCATGTGGACCCATGTGCTCCCAAGGGAAGGGTTCTGTTTGGGTGTGGGGTGAGTCTAAACAAGCATTCATACAGGTTTGTTATCTGTGGCCTAAGAGGGGCAGGGGAATAGAGGGAATGTCCGGCCTGTAGGGCAGCTAAGAAGGAGGTGGAGGGAAAATAAGTAAGGCAGTGAAAGCCAAGCAGGGAAGCCTGTAGGAGAAGCTCATGGATTACCCACAATCAGATTTCTCCCCTTGAATCCGAGACTTTTTCCACGTGATTTTACCTCCATGATCTGATCTGTCACTGCAAGAGAAAAGCAGAAATGTCAGGAACCCAGACAGATGTATAGACAGACCTGTTGCAGGTGAGGCACAAGCCAGAGACCAGGAGAAGACTGTGAGAGATCCCAGAGCAGGCAGGCTGTCACCCGGATCAGCAGGACCGAGTCTCATGCTAGCCCCTGCAGGAAATCCAGCAGCCCTGTGTGCCACTCATCAGGCTTGTCCAGGTAACAGGGATGCCCCGCCCCTTCCATGACCAGCACTCTATGGTTGGGCAGCTGCTTCAGGTGTTGAAAGCTGGAGGAACCCATGGGGTCCTGATCTCCATATACAATCAGAGCTGGAGTCTGGGAGAAGGGGAAAAGAGGAAAGAATCAAGGGGCTTGCCTCACCAACCCCAGCCTTCTAAAGGTCAGCGTCAGCCCTCACCACCACATTAGTCTCTTCCTGCCTACCTTAGGAGGAGAGATAAGCGGATCCAGTGGGTGGGGACATGAATTTGTACTTTCCCAAGTACACAGTTTGTATAGGGTTTGGCATAGTAATCTACCAAGTCAACCAAAAGGAATTAGGTGGTCACATCTCCCCAGAAACCACCCCATTGGTTTCCCAGCTTCCAGTTGAGGAAGGCCCAGGGATGGACCCCACCTTCCTCCTGACATGCCATCTCAGCTTCACACACACACACACACACACACACACACACACACACACACACACACGAAAGGTACCTTCACACTGGCATAGTCAGCAGCATTGATTTTGTCTGTGCAGATGGGAGCCACTGGTACATAGCCCCGGAGGTGGGAGCCAGGGGCCACGAGGAAGGGCAGTGCATACATGCCACTTAATGATGGACTGATCACAACGGGGGGTCCCAGTTCCAAGGCATCTACCACAGCTGCTAGGAAGCTACCAGGGGCCAATTCCCCAATAGGGGCAGGGGCTGCTGCTTCCTTGGAACGCCCAAGACCTGCAGGGATTCAGGTGTGGGAGAGATAAGGGCAATGAATGGGAAGGGTCCCTTCTTCCAGCAAGTTCTCCTAGGTCTCTCTGTGCCCGGGTTCATGTAACACCCAGTGGATTGAATTCATTCACACCCACAGCCCGGTGTATTATATTTGTGGCAAGAATAAGACATTTCTTTCAATGTTTGCATTCATACTAACAGTGTCCTGAAAAGAATCAAGCTCTGGAGTCTATCAGGGCTAGGTCTGAGTCCCAGTTCTCCATTTACTATAAAGATGACCATAGGTCAGGCCTCCCAGCCCTCCTCAGCTGCCCAGTTTCCCTTCTCTGTTTAAATGGGATGGGGAATGATCCTGCCATTTAAACGTGTGAAAATTAAGTTAACTGTTTAGAAGGCACTTCGCCCTCCTGGAGGATGGGACCTGAGACAGTGCTTCTGCCCTGGGACTTACCAGTCAGTCCCCACCTTCAACAACATTAACTGTAGACCTTCAGCCTGAAGCTTAGCCCAACCCACTGTTGGAAACAAGCCTGGCCAGGCCGGAGAGCTGCCCTTGAAACCTGAAACTATATCAGCTCTAGTTTGTGAGGGGATTAGATCCAGTCAGACAGGCTATGCCTCCAATTCCTCACGAGACACTAAAATGGGTGGGGCCTGGTGATCCAGGTTATGACAGGCAATCTGGAAGCAATTCCCACCTCCTTCAGTGCCCAAGGACTCTGCTTGCAAATAGGTGACCAGGTACTTAGCCATCCATCAGGCCCTGCCATGCTTCCCAAGGCTCTGGAAGGCTATTGTCAGTGCCTCCACCAGCCTGTGAATGTGGCTTGGTCAAGGTACTTTATTTACTTCCAATCAGCTGAGCACCCATTACTACCTCTCAAGTACTAGCTAATACATTCACACTGATAACCTCCTTCTGTGCTCACTAGGGACAGTCACCAGCAGGAGTGCGGTATCTACCACTCCAGATGAGGGGAATAAAGCCCAGAGACATCAAGACACAGGCTTAGTAACAGTGAAAAGCAGCTGAGCAGTGTATCGATCCTACTAGAGCAAGACTAGACCAGTTCAAAGGTGCATGGACTATGTACCTAACTCTGTCAAGCTCAGGGCCCTGCCTGGCTAAATCCTCCCAGTCCTCCAACCTCAAGTTTTCCCCAACCCTGGCCCAAAAGCCCACCCCAGAAGTACCTGGTAGGTCAATGGCCACAGCCCTGTAGCCAGCCTCAGCCAGCCTCTGCAGAGTACCCAGCTTCTGCCAGGTCTCAGAGGAGAAGCGGATGCCATGTAACAGCAGCACAGAGAAGCGAGCGGCCTGCCCGCTGCCAGGTCGGGCCTCTCTGAAGAAGAGGCCCTGGCCCTGCACCTGGATGGTGCCCTCACGCTGCTCCACACTGGCCATGCTAGACGGTGATGTGCCTGCAGTTCAAAGTCAGCCTGATGAGTGGTGAAAGAACACCCTGCTGGGGGTGGGATGTGGGGTAGGGGGGCAGCTGGGAGCAGTTAGGTGACTCCCAGGTCTTTAGGATCTGAATTACGGTCAGGAAAAGCAGGTATTATTTCTGCCTCTCCCACTCGGTTATTTGATATTGGGCTTCAACTGACTTAACTAAAATATGGCAGAATTAGGAATGTCACTTAAGAATTTAAGAAAAACTGTCAGGCAATGGTGGCACATGCCTCTCGTCCCAGCACTCAGGAGGTGGAGGTAGGCGGATCTCTGTGAGTTCCAGGACAACCAGGGCTACACAAGGAAACTCTTTCTCAACCCCCCAACCCAAAAATAAACAAACATAAATAAATAAATAAATAAATAAATAAATATTAAGAAAAACTATGCAAACTGGGTAGTGGTGGCTCAAGCCTTTAGTCCCAGCACTCAGGAGGCAGAGGCAGGGGGATCTCTGAGTTCAAAGCCAGCCTGGACTATAGATCGAGTTCCAGGATAGCCAGGGCTACACAGAGAAGCCATGTCTCAAAAAATTTTAAAAAAAGAGAAAAGAAAGAAAGCCAGGTGGTGGTTCATGCCTTTAATCCCAGCACTTGGGAGGCAGAGAGAGGCAGGTGGATCTCTGTGAATTCGAGGCCAGCCTGGTCTACAAAGTGAGTTTCAGGACAGCCAGGGCTGTTACACAAAAGAAACCCTGTCTTGAAAAACCAAAAGAAAAAAAAGAAAAAGAAAAACTATGCATCCGGATGGGTCTCACCACCAGTTAAGGTATGTGTCGGTAGTAAAAACTGGTATTTAATACTAGTTCGTAGACAGTGGATAGGATTAAATGAAGCTATGCATTTAAAAAAAAAAAAAAAAAAGCTTGATACATGCCTGGGCATATAGTAAGCGCTCAGTCCAGGTTAAATACTATCTGGATTAGCCTCATCTAACCCAGCGCTTATCATACAGTGGGTGAACTGGCAATACGGGCAGGAGTGAGACCAAGTTTGTTTGGGATGAAGGCCTATTTTCCAGAGGCAGAAACACATGCACTGGTTGGCAAGGACTTTGGAGTTCCTGACTGCCAGGGACGGGGGTGCTCAGCGCGCTGGCCCCTGGAGCCCAACCGGTTGACGCAGCAGTCACCCGCGCTCGGTCCACGGCGCCCCACAATTCCGGATTCCTGGGTCTGTCTGAAGGAAGTACGAAAAAGAGGGGCAGCCCAGAGAGAGGTGACCTGGAGAGCCGAGATCAGATGACTTGGGGCAGGTGGGGTTCTGAGTGGAGACGCAAAGGAAGAGTCGAGAGCGCAGAGTGGTACCTGGGAATCTGCGTGGTCTTCAGCAGGAGAATATGGTGAGTGCTGTGGGCGGGTGGGGAGCGAAGTAGGAAAGGGGCGGGGCGGGAGGTGGGGACAGGCCTGGGGGTTCCGGGCGCCCTCTTTTGGTTACAAACTACCGCTAGGCTCGTCCGCACCTTAACCCTTGGTTCTTCTCCAACCGAACCTGTTTCCCCAAGCCCGCCCCGACCCCCATGTGCCCCAAGAGCCAGGTTGAAGATCTTGAAACCCTCAGCTGTCCGCCCCACACGGAAGTGGCCTGCCTTGAGAAGGAAATCTATTCCTGGTATCCTTGCTGTCCGCCCCCCTAAACCGCCCTCACCCCGAGTCAGGACAGTCCAGGACGAGCAGTGCACCTGTCATGACGCTGACATCCTACATATCAGCGTGGAAGGCTCCGCCAAAGTTCAGCCAGGTGGCATGGGAGTATTTTCCGAGCCTGTAGAATGGGTCTGGTTAATGCCAACCTTGGCAGAGTACCAACAAGGAGTGAACCTTTTGCGCCCTTCATGGCCTCTGGGCCCCGGAGCCTGGTTGCAACACAGAGGCCTGAACCTGGGGTAGACCAGATGTTGATCACAGGTTGCCAGCCAACAATAAGTGTCCCCCTAAGGCTCTGACCCGGCAGGGGAATGGGGCTAGTAAAGAAAGTGCTTGGGCAGAAGCCTGGAGCTGCTGCATAACAATAACATCATCTGGCATTTACACTAGGAGACCTCGGTGCCAGGAGGCCTCGGTGTTCCGAGACTTGACCTGTCCTCAAGTCCTACGACATCCCCATGCGGTGAGTCCTATCTTAAACTCCATTTTGCAAACAAAACGATAGAAAGTGAAGAACCCGGTGGCTGTCCACAGGCTCTCAGGCCTCAGGCCAATAACAATTCCGAAAATCTGGGCCGGGAAAGGCGGGCCTCGGGGCCTTAGGGCACCGCCCCAAATCTTCCTTTGGTAACCAGGCAAAGCCTGCAGCTGCGTACTGCGCAAGCGCGCAGGGGTGGTCCGACTTAGGCCGGCTGGTTACCAAGCCCGAGGCAGTACCAGATTCGCCGGGCTGTTTGGCTGTTGGCTCCGCCTCGGCCGGGCCCCGCCTCACCGGATCCCGCCTCGTCACCCCTGTTAGCGCGGTGAGTGTCTCCCGGGAAGGAGGCCCGCAGGTTGTCCGGGGACCGGCCATCCTTGTCCCCGCCGCTTGGGGCAGAGTCCTTCGGAAGGCGCAAGCGCCGGGCAACACGTGCTGTGTGCGCACAAGTGTCTGCGTGTGCATTCCTGGGTTTTCTCTTCGCTTTTGCCGAGGGTGGGGTGTGATGGGATGGGGTGTTCACGGGTTCTGCCTGCTTGCTTGTATGTCTCTTTTCTGTATTTATGTCCGCATCTGACTCTGTGTATTTCTCAAGGTTTGTGTGTGTCCCTCTGCTGGTGCGTTTCTTCTCATGCCTGCCCCCCAGGTCCTTGCTTGCTAGGTAGTTTTTCTTTCCCGGGGTCTTTGGGAACGTGGAGGAGGTCTGAGAACAACTTGCTGGAATCCGTTCATCTTTCACCTTGTGAGTTCCAGGTATTAAAGTCAGATTGTCAGGCTTGGCAGCAAGTGCCTTTACCTGTAACCCTATCCCTTTTAATATTTTATTTATGGGGGAGGGCGGGGGCGAAAGCGTACAGTAGGGTGTGTATGGAGGTCAGAGCTCAGTTTGGGGAATTGTTTCTTTCCTCTCACTCTATGGGTCCTGGGTATTGAACTCAGGACATCTGGCTTGTCTGCAAGGACCTTTACCCTAAAATAAATAGGGGCTCACACGAGCCCCTATTTATTTTAATTCAAGGTCTCACTACATTGCCCAGGAAGGTCTTGAACATCCAATGCTCCTGAGTTTGGGCGCTTTTTTCTGTCTTTGTTGTTATTGTTGTTGCCGGTTTTTTGTTTTGGGTTTTTGTTGTTGTTCTTTTTGTTTGTGACAGGGTCTTACTCTGTAGCTCTAGCTCTCCAATTTGCATGGATCCCTCCCTCTCCTTGAGTACTACACTCTGAGGCCAGGACTGTGTGTTTATGTGTCGTTTAAGGGTTGGGTATGATTTTGTGCTTGAATATTCCAAGGGTCTGCATGTGGTTTTGAGGGTCTTACCAAGCAGCCCAGCTGGCCTCAACCTATAATCCTCCTGTCTCAGTCTCTCTAGCTCCCGTGCCTGTGTATGGGTTGGATTTTTTGTTCTGTTTTTGTTTTTTGAAAGGGTGTCTCTCTATGTAACCCTGTCTGATCTGGAACTCCCTATGTAGTTAAGGCTGACCTCAGACTCAGAGATCCTCCTGCCTCTGTATCCTGAGTGCTGAGATTAAAGCTTTAGGCTTGTATATATATGGTCTTGAAATACATGTGTCTGACTCTGCCTTCCCGATAACTGATGTTGTGCCCAGATCGTGACCCCCAGAGAGACCAGAATGCAAAAGCAAGGTTTATTTCCTTTACAAGTCGAGACAGGGAACTCATCTCAAGCACTTACTGGCCGAAGCGCAGCGAGGCAGGAAGGAGTTATTCTTTCTTGGGGAAGTTAGTTTTTATAGGCAAAACCCACAAAATTTCTTAAGAGGGGAGGGGGTTAGTACGGGTCTATCTTTGATTGGTCCAGTTTTTCCCGGGCCTGGACTTTGTCTTATTCTAGCTTATCTGTTTGCCCTGTCAGGAGTTTTACAACCCATTTCTGGGGTCTGGTCATGTTATCTCTGGAGAGGGGCATCTCGTGGTTAATCGGTCACTACCAGACATCCTGACTTTGTTCTTTTGAAAACATCTGACTTCACCCTCTCCAGGAAGGGGGAACTGACTCAGTCCTGTTTATTTTAAGATATCGATTCCCTCAGCTCTTTTGGGTTTCTGGGGGAACTGTATCTGGGCTTTTGGTGGGGGTCTTTCACTGACTGGTGTGTGACCAAACTTTTACTGGGGAGATGAAACACACTTGTCTACTCACCCCAGATAGGGAGCCATGGCAGACCAAAGTACGGATACCACCAAAGCCCAACTTGGTGAGCCAATGAGCTTTATTGGGGTTACTTAACAGAAATATGGATAAGGGGTTTCTTACAGGACTCACAGACAGCTACATCACCAAAGCCCACCCCAGCATGGGTGACCGTTCACAAAAGCTGGGAAACGTGGAACACACTGCACAGCCTGCAGCCAGCTCAGCAGGTTGGATGGAGAGTGTCCTTTCCAAGTGACTCAGTCTAAAACTCTTCCAGGCAGTTCACCTGGTTTCCACTTCTTCAGAGACCTGCTCTGGCCTCAGTCTTCTTTGCAGCTTACCTTTGTTTAGTTGAAAGAGTCTCACCCTTCATTGTTTACTCGGGTAGGGAGGAGCCTAGTGAATCTGGTCAGTTTCAGGGAGTTTTGTTTCGTTTTTAGATTTATTAATTTATTATGTATACAGTGTTCTGCCTGCGTGTGTGCCTGCAGGCCAGAAGGGGGCACCAGATCTCATTACAGGTGGCTGTGAGCCACCTTGTGGTTGCTGGAAATTGAATTCAGAACCTTTGGAAGAGTAGCCAGTGCTCCTAACCTCTGAGCCATCTCTCCAGCCCTTCAGGGAGTTCTTGAAGCTAATTTTTGGCCGTTTACTTCCCTGCTCACGGAGCTCCCCTGCAGCATGGAGTGTTCTGACTTCAGAGGAGACTGATAACACAACTGTGCATGTGATTTTGTGGATGTTCCTGTAAGAGACTGACTGTGCATAGGCCAATGTGTGTACAAAGAGGCGGCTGTACATTTAGGGAATAGCTTCTTGAAATGTGTGGAAGCAAGACACTTGTCTCCGTGTGAGTATGTCTACATCTGTGTGTCACGGTAGAGAGGCCTTCCAGTATCCAGGGCAAGCACAGTTTACGCCTCTCCTCCTCCACCTGCCCAGCAATCGGCATCAGAACCCTTACAATTGTCTAGTCTTGGGCACCCTGGGTTGCCATGGCAACGAATAAAGCCCCACCCCTTCACCCTGAAAGAAGCACAGGTTCGCCTCTCTCGGACAACTAAGAGGGTTCCTTCACAGATGCTCTGCCCTGTGGGAACCTGAGCTAAAGCTGCGTTGGAGGCGGACATCCTTGGCTGCTCCAGGTTAGGAAGAAGAGCGTGCTCTTCTCCGCCTGGGTCCCGATTTTCCATCAGCACTGGAGGATCTGCTAGTGCCCACACACTGCCTGACTTCGGAGCTAGAGAGCGAGATTTCCAGAAGAATTCCACAGAGTCAGCAGAGGTGGGTGTGAACCAATGCAGGCTGCAGCTCCTAGGCCTACCACAGACTCAATTTACACTCAATAAAAAAGCATCCAGAGCCAGGCAGTGGTGGTGTGTATGTCTTTAGTGCCATCTCTTGGGAGGCAGAGGCAGGTGGATTTCTGTAAGTTTGAGGCCAGCCTGGTCTACAGAGTGAGTTCCAGGACAGCCAGGGCTATGTAGAGAAACCCTGTCTCAGAAAAAAACAAAACAACAACAACAAAAGAACGTATCCAGAATCCTAGAAACAAGACAAGCATGTTCACCTTAGGCCCAGTAAGTGATGATAGGGATATCCCATTGCCCACTTGCTTAGGTGGATTGTATTATGTAAATCGCACAAGAAGCTTGGTCGAGTACCAGGAGCTCAGCCCGAGTAACCAAACTCAACTCGTGGCAGAGGGGAATTCTCAAACCAAGACCACTGGCCCTGATTGAGTGCCCCTCTGGGGCTAACAAAGGCACCATACTGGAGGAGTTCATGAAGCAGATCATTTGGCAGAAGTGGGGTGAAAGCTGGCCCAATTCTAGGCCAGCTGCCCTCTTCCCAGCCCCCAGTATCTCAGACCTCAGCGTTATCCCCAACGTTCTCCGTGAACTGGCTCGTAATGGCTGGTGTGACCATGAACTAGGCCCCCCTGTTGCACAGGGCATTCTGTTTTTAGCAGTGTTCTAGTCATTGTGAGGAAAGAGAACCATTTCCAGGCGTGCCCTCAGTGGAGGTCTCTTTGCACACGTTGGGCTTTATCGGTGTCCTCCAGCCACCACTGAGTCTCCAGTTCATCCAGCTCCTGCCAGAACGAACACACAGTTCATCTATCTTCTTCCAGAACACACGTGGCCTGGTATTTTGGAAACTCGCCCCAGGTCCCAGGTCCCTTGCTTCTGCTGCGGTAGAGAATTCACCTGCGAGCCTGGATTCCTTCATACCAGAGAACTACAGTCATATATGTTCCCTGTGTTTTCTTGTGGCCTCTGAGTGCTTAATGTAGAGGGTCAGGCATGAAGGCAACGGCCAGAAGGGCTGGTGTAGTTAACACAGCAGTGGTGGTGACCACTACACATGCCTGTGTCAGAGGGACACCTCGTGCACTTCTCCACAGAGTGGAGTGTCCCAGGCCTTTGCCCAGGCCTGAGGAGTAGTTGGGTATGAGCAACCAGATAGTCATGCAGAGCCAGAGAAGGGAGGAGGGCCAGAGATCTTCCTCAGCCTCTCTCTACCCTTTTCTCTTCCAGGCTGTGTGGCACAGACCTTCATGAGCCGGTACCAGGCAACCCTGCTGGGGCTCGGCCTGCTGCTCGTGCTTCTCCTGTATGTGGGCCTGCCTGGCCTGCCTGAGCAGACTTCCCAGCTCTGGAGGGGCCCCAATGTCACAGTCCTGGCTGGTTTCACCCACGGCAACTCTCAGATATTTTACCGTGAGGTGTTGCCTATCCAGCCAGCACACAGGTGAGTGATTACCCAAGGGTTTAGTGGAGGGACCCCAGTCCAACTCCACTAAAGTTTAGTGGAGCTCAGGAGCCTGGAGGGCAGCGAAAGATACCCGGGAAGAAAGGATGGTGCCTGCCTGGGTCCCATGCCACATGTTTCCCCCATGTGTCTGCAGGGTGCAAGTGGTGTTTCTCCATGGGAAGGCATTTAATTCCCACATATGGGAACAGCTGGGCACACTGCAGCTACTGTCTAAGAGGGGCTACCGGGCTGTGGCCATTGACCTTCCAGGTGAGTACCCCCACAGTCAAGTTTAGAGAAAGCAGGCTGAAGCAGGAACACAGGAGCACTTGCCAGAAGGGAGAATTTAGCAAAGCCCTAAAGGTGAAGCAGGGCCATGTGGGCCCCTGTGTTCAGACAAAGCAGGTGCAGGTCACAAGAAGGCACCACAATAAAAGCCTGTTTTTATTTTCTACCTTGAAAAACCACAGTGTGAGTTATTGTATGTCACAGAGAAAACAGAAAAGCGATTCATTTCATGAGCAACCACTGGGGGGATTTCTTTTCCTTTTTTTTTTTTTTTTTTTTTTTTACAATTTATTTATTTAATTTAATTTTTTTTTTTTTTTTTAGTAAAACCAAAACTTATTCTAAGCCACAGTCATCCTAGGGTCCTACTGGGGGGATTTCACTGTGCTTTTTGTGACTGTGTGATTTTTGTGGCTTTTTTTTTCTTTCTAAATTTTGGGGGCACACCTGTGGAAGTCGGCAGATAACTTGTAAGAATTGGTTCTCTCCTTCCACCCTGTGGGTTCCAGGGATCAAACTCAGATTGCCAGACTTGGTAGCGACCCCCTTTACCCACTCAGTGAACAGCATCTCCTTGTTTTGTTTCGTTTTGTTTTTGACTGTATACATGGACTATGCTACCCTCTGGGTTAGTTGTTGTTTCCAGTAATGTGGATCGAACCCAGGACCTCAAGAATGCTAGGCAGGCACTCAACCACTAAGCTACACCTCCAGCCTCGTGCTATCATTCTTCTAATTAAAAATGAAAGTGGGGGTGGGGCTTGGGGGGTGGCCCAGGGACTAGAAAGATGGCTCAGCATGAGCTGTTCTTATAGAGAATCTGAGTTTGTTTCCTAATACCCATGTCAGGCAGCTCACAACCTGTAACTCCAGCTCCAGGGGATCCAGTGTCCTCTTCTGGACTCTGCGGGAACCTGAATTCATGTGCACAAACCTACATACAGAAATATACATGTAAATTAAAAATAAAATCAATTTTTGTTTTTGTTTTTGGAGACAAGGTTTCTCTGTGTAACAGCCCTGGCTGTCCTGGAACTTGCTTTGTAGACCAGGCTGGCCCCAAACTCACAAAGATTTTCCTGTCTCTGCCTCCTGAGTGTTGGGCCTGTACCCAGCTAAATCAATATGAAGTCCTGCCAGGCACAGTGGCACACACCTTTAATTCCAGCACTCAGCGGGGCAGAGGCAGGTGGATCTCTGTGAGTTCGAGGCCAGCCTGGTCTACAGAGGGAGATACAGGACAGAGGACTATTACAAACCCTGTCTCAAAAAAAAAACCCAAAATAAGACATAAAGAGTCCTTAGAAGCCAATAACACTTCTCTGCCCTCTTGACCGCTGAGAGTGACAGGCCCACTTTCAGGCATTTTCACGCATGGAGACACACACAGGTGGGCCTGGTCGTACAGACTTGTAATCCCTGCTACTCAGGAGGCTGAGGCAGGAGGATCCCAGATTCAAGGCCTGCCTAGACTACAGAGTGAATTCAGGGGTAGCCTGGCAACTTAGTAGAGACCCTGTCTTAAAATAAAAAGTAAAGCCGGGCGGTGGTGGCGCACGCCTTTAATCCCAGCACTCGGGAGGCAGAGCCAGGCGGATCTCTGTGAGTTCGAGGCCAGCCTGGGCTACCAAGTGAGTTCCAGGAGAGGCGCAAAGCTACACAGAGAAACCCTGTCTCGAAAAAACCAAAAAAAAAAAAAAAAAAAAGTAAGAAAGGCCTGAAAATATAATTCAATGGTGGAGTCTTTGCCTAGCATATGCAAGGCCCTGGGCTCAACCTGCCTGTACAGAGAGAGACAGAGACAGACACACACACACACACACACACACACACACACACACACACACACACGTACACAGAGAGAGACAGTGACAGAGAGAGAGACTGACAACATGCAGGTTGTATGTGGGAGTTGGGAGCATGAGCATTCTGCCTACTTAATGAATGTATTTACACCTCTATTGTCCTGGCTACACCATGACTTGTGGGTCAAGCCAGATCCTGCACACCTCCTCTGCTGTCAGTGCTGCTGTGTGGGCCATGGGAGGCATGGGCAGGCTGCTGTGTGGGCCATGGGAGGCATGGGCAGGCTTTGCATGTTCATTCCTCAGTTAGTGTATTTAACATTTTTAGTGTCACCTGAAATACCCAAATATCTAACCCAAGCCTCTTTGGACATGTTTCTTTAAGTATAGGAAAGCTGGGCATGCCTCCAGCACTCAGGAGACAGGGGCAGGTGAATCTCTGAGTTCTACAGAGCAAGTTCCAGGATATCCAGGGTTACACAGAGAAACCCTGTCTCAGAAAAACAAACAAACAAAAGAAACATTTAGGGGCAATAGTTTCTCTAGGGTAGCTATCAAGGACAATTGATGAGTCAGGATACACTTTTAAGCTTTTGGACAAATACTATGTAGCCTTCCAGAAAGGCTGTAGAGATTATCCTTCCCTCAGTCAGGTAGGTGTCCTTTCCTTAGAGCTTCCTAACACTGGTTCCTATCAGCTTAAAAGTTTAGCCAATATAATGACTGAAAGATATTTCTCCTTCTAAAAAAGTATTATTAGCTAGTTGGTTGACACTGTGTGTATACATGTGTGTGCATATGTGTGCATGACGAAGTGCACATGTGGAGGTCAGAGGACATTTTATGGGAGTCAGTTAGTTTCCTCCTTTCACCACGTGGGTTCCAGAGATCAGATGCAAGTCGTCCAGGTTTGTGCAGCAGGTGCTTTTACCCACCGAGCAGTCTCACCTGCTGGAAAACTGAGTTTCTTACAGGCCTGTTATAGAATGAAAACTTGCTTCTGAGAACGGCTGGGGTGGAATTGCTATGTGCCACCGATCCTCATCTCTTTCCCCCACTGTGATGGGCAGGAAGTCCTGAGTAGTTCCTGGCTCAGCAGTTCTCAACCTGTGGGTCAGGATCCCTTTGGGGGTTGAATGACTCTTTCACAGGGGTCACATATCAAATGTCCTGCATATCAGATGTTTACACTGTGATCCATGACAGCAGCAAAATTACAGTAATGAAGTGCAACAAAAATAATTTTCCCGGGCTGGAGAGATGGCTCAGAGGTTAAGAGCACTGGTTGCTCTTCCAGGGGTCCTGAGTTCAATTCCCAGCAACCACATGGTGGCTCACAACCATCTGTAATGAGATCTAGTGCCCTCTTCTGGTACACAGACAGAATACTGTATACATAATAAATAAATCTTAAAAAAAAATTAATAATTTTCCCACAACATGAGGAACTGTATTAAAGGGCCAAAGCATTAGGAAGGTTGAGAACCACTGTCCTAGCCCCTCTCAGGTAGTGCCTGCTGCTTTTCCCAGGTTTTGGGAACTCAGCACCTTCAAAGGAAGCGAGCACAGAGTCAGGACGAGCGAAGCTGCTGAAGCAGGTGCTGCAGGACCTAGAGGTGCAGAATGCTGTGTTGGTGAGCCCTTCCCTGAGTGGCAGCTATGCCCTGCCCTTCTTGATGCGAACCCACCACCAGCTCCGTGGATTTGTGCCCATTGCACCCACCTCCACACGGAATTACACACAGGAACAATTCTGGGCTGTGAAGGTACTTAGACAATGATCTGCAAAGATCCTGGCCCCCTGGCCCTGTCCCTGGCTTGTACCACATGGGGGTGGTCTTAGAGGGTTGGCCCCTGAAGTTGGATGGAAGAGGTAGAGTGTGGGGGCAAGGCTCCCCAAAGGAATAGCCTGTGGGTTGGATCCTCACCAAGCCCCCAGGATCAACAACTTCTGGCCTTGCCCTGCAGACCCCAACTCTTATCCTGTATGGGGAACTGGATCACACCTTGGCACGAGAGTCACTTCAGCAGCTCCACCACCTGCCCAACCACTCTGTGGTGAAGCTACACAACGCAGGCCATGCCTGCTACCTCCACAATCCGCAAGCTTTCCACCTCGCCCTTCTTGCATTCCTTGACCATTTGCCTTGAATGGACTCACTTCGCAGAACTGACCTTGAAGGGTCTAGACGCTCTCTCTCCTCTTCCAGGGAGGCAGCCCTGAGTGGGATTGGGGACAGAGGATCAAGCCCAGCCAGGACTTTTGATTTCATTTCACAGGCACAATAAAGAAAAGCCCTTTTGTCCCCCCTGGAGAGTGACATTGTGTTTCCTGACTTGTGTGGGGGAAGCTGGGAGTGGGAGGCAAGTCTCAGACTGGATGGGGAGGCTGGAAGCGGTGCTCCTGGGAGTCTTAAGTGAGTGCACTACTTCCTTATAATCTGTGCTCCCTTCTCTGTGCCTCAGTTTCCTCCTCTGTGAAATGGGCATGGTGACAGTAGCGGGGAAATGATTGTGGGGTTGAATGTGGGTAGGTGAAATACCTGCGTGAGTCCGTGAAGGTGGAAATGGTGTGTGGTTTAAGAACTAAAACAGGCAGGTGGTGGTGGCGCATGCCTTTAATCCCAGCACTCAGGAGGCAGAGGCAGGCGGATTTCTGTGAGTTCGAGGCCAGCCTGGTCTCCAAAGTGAATTCCAGGAAAGGCTCCAAAGCTACACAGAGAAACCCTGTCTCGAAAAACCAAAAAACAAAAAACGAAAAAACCTAAAACAGTGTTGTTGAACCACCAGACCCGATTGCTTCCTTGTTATGGGTGAACAGGCACAGACTTCAACCCCAAGAGGGTGGAATGGCCCACTTTTTGATTCTCCCTGCCTGCTCCTTTGGTCCCAAGGTTGAAGTCTTCTGCTCCTTCCCCCTCCCCAAGCTGGCTCAGCCTCTGGAACAGAGGGCAGAACTTGCTGGAAGTACAAAGAGCAGCTAGGTGCACAAGTGGGCAGCTACAGTTACAAACAGCTTGCTGGTGGCCAGGGGAACAGCCATGCCTCTGTTTCTCTCTCCGCTGGAGGCGGAAGAGCTTAGGGTTCGATGGAGGGTCAGCCAAGGTGCTCTTTCCCAATCTCCCATGCTGGCAGGTGTCATGATTGTACCTGATGCATACGATTGCACGTGACGCTCGGCATCTCCACTATCTCAGACTCATAGTGTCACACATACGGTTATATCCACCGTGACACGGATTTGGCCACACCGTAACACGTTCACAGCCGCACGTTCTCCCGTTCGGGCATTTATTTTTCATTTATGTCACCTTGCCCAGACTCCCACTTTGCCTGGCCAGGGTTAGAATTCCCTGGGCACATCGGTATCCTGGAACTCACAGGGTGGGGAGAGCAGACGCTAAAAAAAAAAAAACAACCCAAAAACCTCACTACACAAGGAGTGAGGCAATCTGGGAGAGCCTCCTTGAGGAGTGGAGGCCAGAAAAGGGCAGAAAGGACAGAGGGGAGAAGATGCACTTTGCAGCCCGACACCTAGAGAGCAGACGCGTTCCCAAAGCCGCTGCGGCGACTTTTAGCGCCAGGCCCCGCCCTCTTCTCTCGCCCTATCCGGAGGCTGCAGGGGGAGGAGGGTCGCCTGGGGGCGGGGCCAGCCTGAGCTTGCGGTCCAGGCTCCAGGGCGGGGCGTGGGGAGGGCGGAGCTGGCCGCAGTGAGGAGGACCCAGGGGGTGGATCCCGGATCCAAGCTGCCAGTTACCCGGCGCAGGCCCCACGTTGAGTCAGGCAGGGACAACGGCGACGACTCCGCCACGCCACGGAAACTGGGACGGCCCTTGCAGTCTCCGGTCTCCGCCCCTCCACCCCGCCCTGGCCACGTGGTGGGCGTACCTGGGCGGTTTTGAGATTGCGACCTCGGTGGACCCTGAGTCCTGGCCACAGTTCCGAGAGGTCCCTGAGAGAGGAGAGCGCAGGACGGAAACCAGGAGAGAGCAAGGTTGGGACACCTTAGGGAGCGGTTGAGGGGCATGGGGCACCGTGGCATAAAAGCCCGGCTTTTGGGAGAAATATTTTGAGGAGGGTATAGGGAGTCAATGTCTCTTTCAAACCAAGTTCTCCTACTTCCTTAGCTGGCTCTGAACCTCTCTGAGCCTCAGCTTTCTCTTTTGTCAAGTGGGCACTCAAAGGCACAAACTTACTTCCTTGGCACTCTCCTGGGGATTAAATGAGGAAATGTGTAGAAAGTAACTAGCACAGCCCAGAATGGGGTAGTCAAACCAAGGTAGGTGTTCTTCTCGCCGTGGGAGCAGCGTTGGGAAGGTGCAGGTGCAGCCCACCGGGCCCCAGCTGCTGGGAGCAAGAGAGAGGAGTAATAATTAACTACTGACTTTGCCCAAGCCAGCACGCGGCGCCATGACCACCAAGGGCCCCGAGTCCGAGCACCCCTCCGTGACGCTTTTCCGCCAGTACCTGCGCATCCGAACTGTGCAGCCCAATCCTGACTACGGTGAGAATGCAGGGTCTTAAGGCCTGTGATAGGGCCTCAAGGCCTGGGAGTGTGCTGTACACTGTCTCCGACACCTGTCACCCCAGGGAACTCCCACTCTGCTGTTTCTGCTGCCTCCTTTGCTGTAGCCATCCTCTGTATCGGCTGACCAGGGCAACCGGTCCCACTGCGCACCACCCTCTCTCTATGCTGTGCAGCTTCGCGTGGTTACTCCTGGCAGCTAGTTAAGGAGTGACTTCATCTCACTCCTCAAGGGCCAGAGTGGAGTGGGGAGACTGGGGCGACCACAGAGAGACACCTAATTCCCAGTCTACCAAAGTCGTTCAAAGGCCACAGCCCTTAGGGAATCCGGCTTGGTGACTGGGAATCTTGTGCAGGAGTGCAAATGCTGTTGTAAGATTTACGAGCTGAGAGACTTTGGGTGAGTCTCTTTATCTCTGACGTCTCTATCTTTTAAAAAAGATAGCACCCGATCTTCACAGAGGGTCACTTATGGGCCACGAATATTGTTTCTTGGGGACACAGGTGCAGGTGTCTTTGGGGATTTGGAATTGTGTTGGGAAGGCAGCTGTACATCTCTGGACTGCCCTGGGCTGGTGGGTACCAGCAAAAGCAGTGCCAAGGTTCTCTGTTTCCCCAGGGGCTGCCATTGCCTTCCTTGAGGAGAGAGCCCACCAGCTGGGCCTGAGCTGTCAGAAAGTGGAGGTGAGCCTGGGTTCCTGAGCAGGGTGGGGATGAGGGCTTGGGGACACCTTGTCACCTGGTGCTGACTGGCTCCTGTCCTCACTCTCTGCAGGTGGCACCTGGCTATGTGATCACTGTGCTGACCTGGCCGGGCACCAACCCTACACTGCCCTCCATCTTGCTAAACTCCCATACAGATGTGGTACCTGTCTTTAAGGTATGTATAGATGGGTGTGTGCAGGCCTGGAGGACAGACATAGTGTAGACTTCAGGATGTCCCCCAGGGGCCCATGGCGCTGATTCTACCACATTTTTGTTTTGGGTTTGATTTGTGTCCTCCCCCCCCCCCCCCTCAAGACAAGAGTCTCACTATGTAGCTCTGACTGTCCTGGAACTCACTCTGTAGACCAACTTGGCCTCAAACTCAGAGATCCACCTGCCTCTGCCTCCTGAGTTCTGGAATTAAAGGTGTGCATCACTATGCCCGGCTTATCCACCACTAACTCTTAACATTCATATGGCATGGCTCTGTACAAGCAGCCTTTGTCCCCTGAGGGTTCTGCGCTAGGGAGGGGGTGGAGACAGGAAACTGATGGGGGATGGAAGTCAGCTAGCCGTTTTCTTAGCCTTCTCCTAACCCTCTCACCGTCTCAGTTCTGTGGCGGGTCCCTCTTCCCACCTTTCCTCTCAGGAACATTGGCATCATGACCCCTTTGAAGCCTTCAAGGATTCCGAGGGCTACATCTATGCCAGGGGCGCCCAGGACATGAAGTGTGTAAGCATCCAGTGAGTATCCTCCATTCCCAGTCCCCTGCTGGCCTTCTGGACTCAGCAGGAACACAGAGATGTGATTGAAAAACCCCAGGCCAAGCAAGGATCATCTTGACCTTCTGTATAAAGCAGAAATTACTGCCATGATCACTTATGGATGGGGAAACAGGCCCAGAAAGGGACAGGGCATCCTGAAATGCATAGCAGGGAAGTGTCTGGTGCACAAGACTACACCCTGTACACCCTTTGCACTTAGCCTCTGCTCCCTTAGGTACCTGGAGGCTGTGAGGAGACTGAAGAGTGAGGGCCACCGCTTCCCTAGAACCATCCACCTGACCTTTGTGCCTGGTAGGAGTGGCTTGGGGAGGGGCATCTTCGAGAAGGGGAACGAAAGTGTGTTGGGAGGCATCTCACGTCGCATCCCTGACACTTTTACAGACGAGGAGGTCGGAGGTCACAAAGGGATGGAACTGTTTGTGAAGCGGCCTGAGTTCCAGGCTCTGCGGGCAGGCTTTGCCCTGGATGAGGGTGAGCAGGTTGGCAAGCCTCCCAGGTGTGGGGAGGCTGCAAGGGGAGGCTGAGTCACACTCCACTCTGTGTACCTACTTCCTCCCTCAGGCCTGGCCAACCCCACTGATGCCTTCACTGTCTTTTATAGTGAACGGAGTCCTTGGTGTGAGTATGGACTGGGAGTGGGGGGATCACTTTCTGCTGCTGCCTCCTTTATGGCCGTCCCCTGGGTCAGCTGACCAAGGCATCCGGTCCCACTGCGCGGCACCCTCTCCTTACGCTGTGCAGCTTCATGTGCTTACTACTGACAGCTAGTTAAGGAATGGCTTCCCCTCACCCCGCAAGGGCTACTTCTAGCCAGGTGGCAACTCAGCCAGCCCAACTCTGTGTGGGCTTGCACAGCACAGGCTCTCTTAGAAGTCGATGTCTGAGACATCTAGACTTTTGCCTCCCAGCTCTTTCCTTCCTGGGTTCTGAGAGCAAGCTCTTATCTGTTGCCAGGATCCTGCACTGTGCCATGGGCTCAGAGTTTAGAATGTGGAAAAGACCTGGGCCCACCGTAGGGCTGTGTCTCCAGCTCTCTCATGCTGAAAATTCTGTTCCTCCCAGGGATCCGGGTTACCAGCACGGGGAAGCCAGGCCACGCCTCACGATTCATTGAGGATACAGCAGCAGAGAAGTTGGTGTGTGGCCCACGGGGAGCCTGGGCATTCGGGAGGCTCTGTCCCAGGGCCACTCTCACATCTCACCTCATACTCTCCTAGCATAAGGTTATAAACTCCATCTTGGCATTCCGGGAGAAGGAAAAGCAGAGGTAAGGCAGCCTAGGAAGGGGTGGGGTGTGGGGGTGGCTCTGGAAGGCTGTGCAAGATGGGAGGGAGACTTGTGTAACCTTCCTTTGTCTGCTTCTGCCCTCTGCCATCCCCCTCCGCCATGCACCCTTGCAGGCTGCAGGCGAACCCTCACCTGAAGGAAGGGGCTGTGACTTCTGTGAATCTGACTAAGCTAGAAGGTGGTGTGGCCTATAACGTGGTACCTGCTGCCATGAGTGCCAGCTTTGACTTCCGAGTGGCACCAGATGTTGACATGAAGGTGCCGCCTCCACCCAGGTTTGAGGGAGAGCCTGGATTCTCAGTCCTGTCCTAGAGGCTTACCTCTTTTCCCTTCCTTTCAGGCCTTCGAGAAGCAGCTGGAGACCTGGTGCCGGGAGGCGGGCGAGGGGGTCACCTTTGAGTTTGCTCAGGTATTGACTTGGGACCTATGATGAGGGAGCATCAGGGCCACTGGGGACTTATCTTACTGAGGATGAAAACATAGGAGTATGTGCCTGGTGCATCTGCATACATCTGGCTATTCCCTTCGCTGTAAGAGATGTTTCATTTACCCAGTAAGCAATAGCTGTAGAGACCATTGTGAATGGTGGATAAAATGGGGGTCGTGCCTCATGTGTGTATACTCTGATAGGAGATTTGGAATGTAGCTCAGTTGGCAGAGTGCTTTTCTAGCATGCTTGAAGCCCTGGGTTGGATCCCCAGCACTTCATAAAGTAGGAATGTGACAAATGCCTATAATCCCAGCACTCAGGGGTAGATGTGGGAGGATTAAGACCTGCCTTGGTCATATAGTGAGCTCAAGGCCAGCAAGGGCTACTACCTAAGACCCTGTCTTAAAAAACAAAACAAGCCGGGTGGTGGTGGCAAACACCTTTAATCCCAGCACTCAGGAGGCAGAGCCAGGCAGATCTCTGTGAGTTTGAGGCCAGCCTGGTCTACAGAGTGTCCTTTCAGGCCAGCCAGGGCTATGTAGAGAAACTCTCTTGAAAGAAAGAAAAAAATAATAATAATACTGTGATGTTATTATGTGATTATGCACACATGTGGTCCAGGAAAGTGGGACCTTGTATTCAGAGAATATGTATTCTGCCCGTCTGAGGCCCAGGGCACCTGAGCAACAAGCATTTGGGCTAGGATATGAAGGAAAAGTGTGAACTAGATGGGGAGTGAGGAATTAGGAAAAGCCCCAGACCTAGGGCATTTGAAGGACTCGAAGAGGACCTGGGCTACCCTGACCACTTGGAAGCCTGGTAGATGGGTGGGTGTGCCCTGTGCCAAGCACAGCACATTCTATGAGTAGTGAAGCCTGAAGTCCTGGTCCTTATCCTGTTACCCCTCCCCTTTCCCAGAAATTCACAGAGCCCCGAATGACACGCACTGATGATTCAAATCCCTGGTGGGCAGCTTTCAGCGGGGCCTGCAAGGAAATGTGAGCACTGACCAGCCCTCTCCCCACAGCCCAGATCCCGGGACCTCTCCTCATTGTCTTTCCCACCGTCCTGTGCCCCTCTGGTTTTTCCCGCCTTCTTCCCCATTTACCAGGCTCTTCTCCTGCAGGAACCTTACGCTGGAGCCACAGATCTTTCCTGCTGCCACTGATAGCCGTTATATCCGAGCGGTGAGCTACTCACTCACAGGGCCTGCCAGGCAGTGGGCTAGTCTGAAGGCTGCCTTTCCCCTGACAGCACCTTGTCACCCCTGCAGGTGGGGATCCCAGCTCTGGGCTTCTCGCCCATGAACCACACCCCTGTGCTGCTACATGACCATAACGAACGACTGCATGAGGCTGTGTTTCTACGTGGGGTTGACATTTATACACGCCTACTCTCTGCACTTGCTAGTGTGCCTGCCATGCCCAGTGAAAGCTGAGCCCCCTGCCTTCCAACCCTTGCGACTTTCAGCCCAAGCACTGCCAAGGATCAGTTGACCCTGCCCAGCAATAAAGCCAGTGTTGGATGGGACTTTCTTTATACTGTGGACAGTATGGAGTAAAGATTTGTGTTTTTCTGGGGATTTGTTGCTCTCATCTCCCATTTCACAGATGGGAAAATTGAGCCTTTGGGCTCCCTTTTAACTGTCCTAAACTGCTCTGTCTCTTGGCATAGCACACCATCCAGTACCACACAGTCACATTTGTGCCTGGCTGGAGGCCCCAGTTCCTATGAACCAGCACACTGGACCTACGAGGACAAGATACTGTTCCCATCACAAGGGTACTAAGGGGCTGGAGAGGCAGTACAGTGGTTTTCCTGAAACAGGCTGGGCATCCCCAACAGTGTTATCAGCCATGGCTTCAGGAACTTCACCTAAATTCCATGAGTACAGGACAGGGGAGATGGAGCTTTTTATGCACCTAGTTGTAGACAGAAAATGGAAACCCTGGCCTGTACCCTACCAGGTGTTTTTGATAATGCCCCTTCCACAGTAAGGGGCCAGCACTTTGAACTGCTTACACACTCAACTCTGCCAGTTTTTGCACTTAAGGTCCTAACAACGTTCTGCACTAGAGCTGCGGCCCCCAAGCAGAGCACTGTTCCCTAAAGGGACTACTTTTCTCACAGCAGCAAGGCTGCCTCTCCTGCCCTCCCTTGCCATGGGATCCATTTCCATCCACAGGTAGCAAGAATACGAACACACCTCGGAGCAACCCTATAATGGGCTAAACCTGCGGCATTACAGCATCCCTATCAGGCACCAAAGGGCCCAGGGTTGGATTAAGGCTAGTTCTGAAGGTTAAGTGTACTCAGGAAAGGATCCATTGTCCTACAGAAAGCCTCCAACACACACAGAATCACTTACTGGTTACTCTGAGTAAGAGCATCCTGAAGCTGGGAGTCAGCTTTTCTTTGCACCCTGGGAGGCTAAACCAGAACTGTCAAAGCCAGGGCTGTCTGGTTGGTTCAGCCTGCTAACCCTGATCATTGTGCGTTCTCATCCCAGTTGTCTTCTCACCTACATTCCAACATAAGCACCATGGCACCTGTACACTTTCCACACAAAGAGAAAAGGTTCAATGCCAGCCTGGGCTAATAAAGGCCCTTGGGGTTGGCAGGACAGCTTAGCAGGTAAACACTTACCATCAAACTGGTTTGATTTCCCCAGGACTCATGTTTCCACAAGTTGTCCTGAGTTTACGTGAATGCCCACCCAGATTCTAAAGGTCTTTACCTGTAAAGCACACACCTGGAGTGATAGGGCTATGCCATCAGATATAAGGCGGAGTCATCACCTGTCCCATCCCAGAACCAGCACAACCCAGCAGTGAACCCTAGCCAGGTGCACCCATGACAGCTCTAGTCCTGGATGTCAAGCCAGAGCATGCTGGAGAGCAGGGCCCTTCCCTACTCACCAAAAGATGTCTAAGGTTTCTTCCTTCTCAGCTTACGGAGCTGTCTTGATGCCTTGGTTTCCCGAGGTACCAACCATCCATCCCATTTACTAAGGCCCTCTCTTGTAGTCCAGGATCCTGTCTCCTACCCATACCCTCTTCATCCAAAGCTGCAATCCTGCCCCACTCCAGCGAGGGTACCAATTCACCCTAGTCCCATGACAACGCACACAGGTTAACAGATCCTGCCTCAAGTTTATTTGTAAAAACAGCATGGGGTCCTGATCATCTGCATATAGTGTGTAGGTGTGTCACACCAGTCCATCTGTCTGGCAGACAGAAACCTTTTCTATGGGGCCTTCACAGGGGCCTGGGCACCTTTGGGAGCCTGAGCCGGAGCTGAGGCCTCTGCCTTGGTTTGAGCCTTGGGCTTTGGCTGGCAGAGTCTACGACCCTTGGCCATGTAGCTTCTAATCCGCTTCCCGAGCTTGGGGTGAGCGATGAACGCGAGACGGCTGAGCTTGCGGCTGGGGCCCTTTGGCATCTTGGGCTTAACCGCCTTGGGCTTCACAAGGGCCTTGATGGCCTCCGCACGCGCACTCACTGCCTTTGCGTTGTTGGCCTGCATCTTCTTCAGGCCTTTCTTGTTGTGCTTCTTGGCAAAGCGCATGTTCCTCAGGAACTTGGGGTCCACCTGGAAAATAGAAAAGATGTATGGAGTAATGTATTACAGCCCCAAGTCATTTCCTGGAGCCCCTATCCACAAGGGTGACACTGTAAATATACCAAGTTAGCCTTTACCATGAGAGGGTTGGAAGGTGTGAAATTCTAGGGAAGAAATCTCACTGCATGTTTTCTGAAATTCCCCTAGGGCCACCCTCCCCATCTCAGGGGAGGGTGTCAATGAAACACCAAGTCCATCAGTTTCACTTCAGAGAATAAGACTGTAGGCAAAGAATAGGCCAGGTGCAGGCCCAGCTAACCCCTGGGACGCACCTACACACGCAGCCAAGTGGTCCCCGGTCTAGTACTAGGCGGGATCAAGTACATACGACGAGTCAGCGCCAAGACACAAACCACAAGGTACCCAATACACAAAAATCCTTCCCTCCCTCGAAGGCTGAGTGAGGGAAGTTCTTTTGCTCTCAGTAACAAGTGACACCAGAGATAGGAAGGTCAAGGAAACAGAAGATACGGAAAATCATTAAGCCAAAGGGCACTTAAGAGTAGCCAGAGGTTGAACCCAGGAGAAGGAAAAACAAAATACAACAGGCCCGACTGTGGACCTCGAGTCAAGGGATATTTTACTCACCCCCTTAAGAGATTCGTATCTTTGTGACCGGGGTTTCTTGATACCATTTCTGTGCCATTTTCGAGCTGTAAGGTAATAAATATCCACACATCAAAAGGAGGGATCTTCTAATAGGACCATCTAGCAGTGGTTCTCAGCCTGTGGGTCTCGACCCTTGGGCATCCAAGGGCCCTTTGACAGGGGTGGCCTAAGACCACCAGAAAACACAATGTTTACTATTCGTAACAGTAGAAAAATTACAGTTGGGAATTTGCAACGAAAATCATTTCGTGGTTGGGGGGCGGGTCACCCCAACACAAGGAACTGTATTTAAGGGTCGCAGCAGTAGGAAGGTTGAGAACCACCGACCTAACATCACTGCGGTCATGGTCTTTTTTTTTGTTTTGAGAAAACTCAGGGCCGAGTGCAAAGCCGATTTCTGGCTCCCAAACTTGTAATCTCAAAATTAGCTAACACACCACCAGCTTCAGGTCTAGCAACCCAAACCCATCCTTGCTAGGGTCCAGGCACCGGCTGGAGCCCCAGGAACTTACACTGGTTGTGTGTGGTGTGGTTCTTGGACTTGGCCATGTCGGAACCTGCAGGAGAGACATGAGATCAGGGCCGGGGTTCCCCAGACTGGGCCATCTGTCACCCTGAACTGGTGAAACATGAAGGAAACCCGAATAAGGCTGCAGCAGACGCTTTCGACTGATGACATCCGCCGGCCTGGCAGCGGTCACAGAACGCGACCCCACCTCTCAAACGCCGAGGCACCGAGGTCCTGAAATGAACTTTGCCGGCCTCCGGGGCGGCTTTCCCTACCACCCATTCCCTGAGGACGGCCGGCACCACTCCCGGCCCGCAGCTTCTACGCCCCACGGCCACGCCGCGGGCCGCCCTGTCCTCCCTGCGGCCCGCATAGCACGCCCCGCGACCCGCCGCCGCCCACGAGTCACGGATGGCATCGGATGCCGCCCGGCCAACACTCACGGTAACCCGCTGCTCCCGAAGCGCCTGGGACCGGAAGAGAAAGAGAAAGGCCGCAGTGCAGCACGGGAAGTAGGGCCGACGCCACCGGAAGGAACCACGGAAAAGCTTTCCTCAGTACTGGTGGGGAAGAAAGGTTCCGCAATCAGAAAGGAAGGGCTCAATCCTAGACCCGGTACTGTTTGAGCCCGGCCCCGCCCTTTTTAGCGTCACAGATTCCTTTCTTTTCTTTCCTCTTCTCCACTGTTTTTGACAGGGTCTTTCTTGCTCCATAGCCTAGACTGGACTGTAATTCTCCATCCTCCGGCTGCAGCTTTGTGCTCCTGGGGTTAAGAGCGTGGTGCAGGCATGGACCACGACGCGGGCCAGTCCGGTATCTGTCCTCTTCCTTCTCTTCCTCCAATGCCTGCTTCGCTCTTGGGGCTTGTCTTCAGGAGAGACCCCGAAAGTCAAGGGAGTCTTTGAGGGATGAAGGTTAGGGAGCGACGAATCTGTGTTCTTAAAAACTTCACCTGGCTCCTGTGTGTCCAATGAACTGTAGAGGGCAGAGAGGAGGAAGAGCGGTGAGATTTGTGCAGACCATCACACGAGGGTGCTGGCTGCCTGCGGATACTGAGGAATGAACTAGGAAAGAGAATAGACCGGACTTGGGGTGCAGAGGATGAGGGAGCGAAAAGAGGCAACGATAGGCCAAGTCTGGTTCAAAAGTCTGGGTGGATGGTGGTGCTGGTTACACGGATGAGGACAAGAAGCAGCTTTGTGGTTTCTTCTTACCTGCATTAGATGTGGGATGAAGCTGGATGAGGACAGATAGGCTTGTAATAGCAGCTACTTTACTTGGAGACCGTAGAACTGCAAGTTTGAAGTCTGCCTGAGTAACTCAGCTAGACCTTGCCTCCAAAAAAATTCTTTATCCTGCCATGCCTGGGCTACGTAGTGAGTTCCAAGATAGCCAGGGCTATGTATGTATGTATGTATAAATACATACATACATACATACATACATACATACATACATAAAAATAAACAAACAAATCTTCCCCCTAGGCATGGTAGCTAGCCAGGGCTATGTATGTATGTATGTATGTATGTATAAATAAATAAATAAATAAAAATAAACAAGCAAATCTTGCCCCTAGGCATGGTGGCTTACACCATTTAGGGCCAATGTCTGAGGCAGAAGCAGAAAGGTCAGGAGTTCGAGGTCATCTTCAGGTACATAACTGAGTCCAGGCTGGGCAGTGTTATACCCTGTCTCTACATGCAAAAACCATGTTCTGGTGAGATAGATGGGTCAGTAGGTAGGAAAGCTTGCTGCTCAAGTCTGAATTTGAACGAAGCCCAGATCCAATTGTGGAAGGGTAGACCAGACCCACATACAGACCCACAACAATAGTGATTTAAAAAAAAATTTTAAGAAAATAAAGTTTAAAGACTGAACAAGTTAAGGTGGTTGAAAGGACACTAATCCACTGGAGCGTGTGGCTCTGGTGGGCCTTACCCTTATCCTATTCCCTCTGTCTTGCTAAATAAACATTAGATTACATTCCTGAAGCCGGCCTCCAAGGTCTATTGACCTATTTGACCGCTTACTTCTGAGGCTGACTACCAAGGTCCAGCTATCAAAGTATTGAAGTCCAGCAATCAGAAGCCCCCTTTGACTCACCTAATTAACATGCCTAATTACAATTAAACACCTCATCCTAACACGGGGTTTCCTCTTGTACCTTCATAAACTGCCCTTTTCCTATGTGCCACGTCTGTCTCCTCTGTCCGGAGGGACAAATACACCTCCCCACTCTCCCTTGTTCCCTTCCCCTTCTCCCTCTGTCTCTTGTCTTGGTCCCTTATCCCTGCCCTCTGTCCTGGGGCAAATTCATCTCTTTTGTACTGAGAACTTGATCTTGGGGATCCTGAGCTGATACTTTTCCTTACAGTGGTAATATAGCTGTGTGGTAGTATCATACATGATTGTACAATACGCAGGAGGCCCTAAGTTCAATCCCTGTACCAGAAAGAGAAACAGAGGCAGAGAAAGGGGGAGATCAAAGTCAAGTAAGTGCTGCTTCCCAATGACTCAGCTGCTTTCTGCTTTTTTGCCCTACAATTCATGCCCCATGTGCAGTGAGGCCTGAGGTTCTTTTTATATGTTTTTTTTTTGTTTGTTTGTTTTTGGTTTTTGGGGGTTTTTTTGTTTTGTTTTTTTTGGTTTTTTTGGTTTTTTTTTTTTTTTTTTTTTGGTTTTTTTGAGACAGGGTTTCTCTGTGTAGCTTTGTGCCTTTCCTGGAACTCGCTTTGGAGACCAGGCTGGCCTCGAACTCACAAAGATCCGCCTGCCTCTGCCTCCTGAGTGCTGGGATTAAAGGCGTGCGCCACCACCGCCCGGCTTATATCTGTTTTTAAAATTTCATTTGTTTATGTATGTTTTGTCTGCGTGTATGTCTGTACCATGTGCATGTCTGGCTCCCAGGGAGGCCAAAAAAGACACTGGATCTTCTGGGACTGGAGTTAGAGATGGTTGTAGTTTCCATGTGGGTGCTGGGAATTGAATCTGGGTCTTCTGGAAGAGCATTGAGTATTCTTAGCCACCAAGCTATCTCTTCAAACAATCTAATTTGAAGAGAGAGAGAGAGAGAGAGAGAGAAGCTGCCATGGCAGGCATATGGAAGGCGGAGGATAACGTCCAGGAGTCAGTTCTCTCCTACCCACCATGTGGGTGGGTAACAAATTCAGGTCGTCAGGCATGGTGGCAAGTGCCTTTACCCACTGAACCATCTCCTCTCGTGGGCTGGGTATGTTTTATACCTTTGCCTTTTTACTTATTTTGAGATGAGGCTTCAAGTGTTCCAGGCTGGCCTCAAACTTGACATGCTTGATATGTAGCAAGGATATGACCTTAAATTTCTGATCCTCCTGCATCCACCTCCTGAGTGCTAAGATTTCAGGATGAGCCCCCATACCTGGTTTTACTCAGTGCTGGGGATCAAGACTCAGAGCAACACGCACACTAGGCAAGCACTGTACTAACTGAATTACATCCTCAGCCTCTGAGGACTGTCCCTTTTAAAGATTCATACCAGATACGCTCTCGTAAATCATCCTCCAAGTTCATGCCTTGCACAAACCCGTTACCTGCTTGGCCCTGGCAACTCTCCTCGTCATGTACTTGTCTCCAGGCACATGGCCTTTCCTGCCAGGCACAGATGCCGGGTCTACCTCGAAGCCTGAGCCCTTCTCTCTACCTGCTCTGCCCTTTCCCTGCTTTTTGCCTGGTGTGATCTTTCCCTGGACTTGTGTCAAATGGAGAGCCTCGGCACCCCCCCCCCCCCCCCCCCCCCCCCGTGTGTCCTCTCGTTCTAATTGTTTCCTTCATGGAACTTCCCTGCACTCTCCTTACATTGTTTATTTATTTTTTAATTTTTTAGTACATGCTGACTTCCTACAAACCATATAAAGGGTTTTCTTTTAGTTTAATGTATAAAACTAGACAAAATTATTTATTGCCAACAATAAATTTTTATTTAATAAACTATTTTTTTTTTTGGTTTTTCGAGACAGGGTTTCTCTGTGTAGCTTTGCACCTTTCCTGGAACTCACTTTGTAGCCCAGGCTGGCCTCGAACTCACAGAGATCCGCCTGGCTCTGCCTCCCGAGTGCTGGAATTAAAGGCGTGCGCCACCACCGCCGGGCTTAATAAACTATTTTTATTTAAATACATTTTTTAAAAAATTTTATTCAGTTGTTCTTCATTCATCCAGGTCGCATGGGTCCAGGATTTCTGAAGAGAGAGTTAAGTTAAAGAGAATTAAGTGGAACTCTTAAAACTTGTGACTCAGGGAAATGCATGTATCTCCTCAGAAAAACATAGCACTATTGAATGCCTGTTTCGTTCTGTGGAGAACGTCACGGCGTTAAGAGCTTTTGGTACATTGTTTCCTTACCCATGTGTGTGTCCCTTGTCACAATGGTGAAGTTGGCACTGGGTTTTTACCACCTTCCTTGTTCCTGCCTGATGGCACCGGTGGAGAGTAGTGACCTAGTCAACATCTGTTAAAGGATGCTCCCAGGTAAGGCAAGTTCATGGACTTGCAGATCTTAGGCAGGGATGGAAAAGGAGACTGTGGAGGCAGGACATGCAGAGGAAAGCTCACCCAGGCACTCTTGAAAAGGGAGGTGTGAAGCCGGGCGGTGGTGGCGCACGCCTTTAATCCCAGCACTCGGGAGGCAGAGCCAGGTGGATCTCTGTGAGTTCGAGGCCAGCCTGGTCTCCAAAGCGAGTTCCAGGAAAGGCGCAAAGCTACACAGAGAAACCCTGTCTCGAAAAACCAAAAAAAAAAAAAAAAAAAAAAAAAAAAAAAAAAAAAGAAAAGGGAGGTGTGAGTTGGGCTGACAGATAACTTAGGGCTAAGCGGAAACGGTTGAGGCCAGACAGGAAGCTGTGGAGTGCTAAGCGTGGACGAAGGACTTGTGAGCAGAGGTAGGACTGAGGAGGTGGGGATAGGATGCCCAGCTACAGCTCACAGGCTCAGCCCATGCCTGTGAGACAGGCAAGAATAGCGCTAGCTTGTCGGCTCAGGACTCCACGTGGCTCTAGTTACACACATGCCCGCTTTCCAACAAGGCACATAACCTGCACTGACTCCATGCACACTCCTCTCTAAACTGCTGTCTGCTCCAACAGCTCCTTAGCAACCTCTTAGCAACTCCTCTTTTGTGGTCAAAACACCTTGAAACATGTCCTAGAACTAGAGGCAATGCATGGGCTGGTTTTGGGTACAGTGAGGTAGATGGTGTCCTCTCAGGGGATTTTTAGGGAACGCTCCTATGTCCCATCTTATGTCTCTGCATGATGGGATATGCTTATAATGAAGAACAAATATGTCATGGGGAAGAACATGCACAGCGACCACAGGCATACATGACCCAACCCTATCCATCCAAGCAAAAGGAAGAAACAAAAACCAAGTAGCTGCTGGAGAGATGGCTCAG